CATTAATTCACATCAACAAATATTTGCCATTCAAATTTTTGAAATATGAATGCCAAAACAGGCTTATCATTGTAGCCCCTGATTTGAGGTCTACAAAAATAAACATGATTTAGCTAGTTGATTTGGCTTACGGCAAAGGATTTCGATTAATGTGCCTTGAACTACTACTTTGTTTTGTTTTTTTAATCCAATCTATTAATGCTTGACAGTCTGAATCTGATTTAAATCCAGGTGGTTGTTCCATATAAATTGGTTTATTCAAGTATCCATTTAAATATGCAGTTTTTACATCAAAAATCTTATTTTGTAGTTTTCGTAAACATCGTAATTTTCTTATTGATAGATCTTTCAACTAATTTCCAGACTTCATGAGCCTCCATTGAACTTAGTTTTTCTATCATTTCATACATCATACTACATAATCTTTTTTCATTGTTCTCGCTCATCTTTTCTTCTGCTTTAGTTTTGGTAAAAATTGCTTTTAAATCATGATCTACAATTTGTTTATCTTAAAGCTTGTATAATTGAAGCTATATCTTTCTCTTTATTACTTTTGATAATTTTAACAACAATCAACTTTAACGTCCTTCTAGTATGAAGTAAATTAATTTTTTATCTCTTATTTCATCCCAACTTGAATGCTTTTACTTTTCAGAATTACAGCTGTATTTATGTAAGCATCTACAGATTCGTTTCGACTCATTTTCAGTTGAGCTAATTCTTTCTACATTTGATATGAATATCTTCTGTTCTTGCCGCCATTTCATTTTTTATTTTCTCCCATCATTTCTTTGTATTCTGTTCATTCACATATTTTAACGCTTATGGAGCTGTCACAGTCTAATTCATTAGATTTCTTGCTATCGCATTATCATCCCATATTTCCCAAGTTTTTATTTCACTTTTAAAATTAACATCTTCCTTTTTGTTGGTTCATCAGCTTCTATCACACTTGTCAATATTTTCAAACTTAATTAACTTTTGATTCTATTTGATCATATAAGGTAATTATCAATTCTATTTGCCCGTATAAGGTAATTATCAGCCAGCCCGTTCGCCGAGATTGGAACTCCAGACCAAACTATCAGTTTTCAGCTATTTTACCACTCAGCCACTAGTAGGCAGCAGCAAGTTTCTATGGCTCAGTTATGCACAGTTTGCAAATACTAATTATTTAACTTTAAAATTACATAAAAAATTCACCTAAATTCCAGAATTATTTAATTTACCCATTTTTCTTTTTGGTCATTGGTTTCCTTTAAATTGTTATTTTTAACCTTACAGTAAATATTCTGCAATATATTGGAAATGCATGTTTGACATGCAATGATTTGCCACATTCACAAATACTATCATTCCAAATAACCCTGTTTTCAACTTTCTCTGTGACGAGACTTATTAATATAGAAATGTTGATTTTTTGATGAAATATATAATTTCTCATACATTTCAGATATTAGGATTGAAAATATTTTAAATGCAGAGGTATTAATGAAAAGCACGAATTCTGTTGGCCAAAATAAACCACCTCGATCAATAGCAGCTAAGTACGCAAAATCTTCCCAATATTCAACTATCATTTCTTTGTCAAGAATTAATTTTTTCCTGCAGAGATTACAATTTATATGCTTCAATACAGATCTACAAACATATCCAGAAATGTAAATTAGACACATTGTATCTTTTTCTGTAACATTAACATCATTGGATTGATGCAAAACATCACCAAATTCCTTATCAATAAGTTGATCATCATTAAAATCTTCAATATCATGACAAGAAAAATGTTATAAAATAAATGAACCTTTCTCAGAAATTGCATTTTAAGCAAACTAATTAATTTTAGTTTTCTTTCCGACTCTATAATCTGCTGTAAGGATACATTATAATTACAGCCACTCATTTGTTGAAATTGACCAAAACGTCCCTCAAGGTTATCTGTCTGAAATTTTCCTGAAGGAATAAAAGGTAATTTAAATTCTTTTAACAAATACTTTGAAAGTTCATTCAATGTTGCTGTTGTATGGAGAAGAGCAACTTGGGCTTCTTTTGACAGTTTCCCCAATTTGTGACTTACAGTTTTTTGTTGTTAGGCAAAAATCGTTCCATGATATAAGCCACGAACAAAACTGTGATAAACATTCTAAGCTTTTATCTTCTGTTGTCCTTATAAGCTGCATAAATACATCTCGAAACTGTAAGGCCTTTTTAGAGTGTTTAACATTCACAATTTTCCACCACTTTAAAATTACATCAATAAAATGTTTAGTTCTTAAGACATCTTTTCCATACCAAGTTCTATTATTCTGCGATTCAATTTGCAGAGCAGCTAAAGTCTTTTCATCAAAAAGTTTAATAGCAGTACTTACATTCTGTTCCTCTATAGAAGACGGAAATAAAACTTTCCTTGATAAAGTTGGAGCCATTTTAATATTATCGTTTTTTTTTTCTATTTTATACAATCTTTTTAAATGTAGAACACTGGAATTGTAAACAATATTTGAGTTTTCAAATGACGGTATAAAAAATGTTTGGTTTGAATCGTTCTGATTGAACCAGTTGTTTCGTATAGATTTCGATAAATGAACTGGCTTTAGAGTAGAATTGGGTGCCCCTTCGATTGGCGACATTTTTAAAAAAATTTTGGCGATGAAACCTCACTTCTGGTTACCACAATAGTTTTCAATTTGTTTTAGCTTCCTGATTTTATTTAAATGAAAATAGATTGATGTGTACATGGACATATTTAAGGCGCAATGCCTAGTTTGTGCAATTCTAGGATGTTTTTTTAAGTAAAAACAGATCGATGTGTACGTGGACACAGATCTTATGTAATTCTTCGACTTCTTATTTTGGTTTTGTGTAGCGGCCATCTTGAAATTGTGACTTCCTGGCGCCGATCTTGGCGTCAAGAAAGAATCGCCAATAAACAAGGGGCACCCAATTGTAAACTTTTACCAATGAACGAACTGTATCAAATAATGTAAATATAGGAAGATTATGCATGGTAGGGTTTTATAAATGAGGATTTTAATGCACCACCACAAAGCATTTTGAACATATTTCTGTTAATTCTATTATTGTCTTATATTAGAGTTATGATTCGATAGCCACAAGACTGTACATGGTCAATTACTTGTTTTGTAAATATTAATAATTGATGTGATGATAAGTTTTTTACGGGAAACATTGCTACAATATCTCTGTTTTTTGCTAATATAGCTTATCATAAATGTTTGCAGAGTTGTGGCCTCCATCTGCGAATTATCCGAAAAACCTAAAACACGACCACTTTTATACGAAACTTGTGGTTTTATATATATCACATCTAATAATAAATTGACAATTTTTTCAGAATCATTTAAAATTTCACATTTTTTTTTTTTTTTTTTCAAATACATCCAGTGACTTGTTTGTAATCCAGAATCTGCTCGGCCAATTTTCAGAGATAACTTCCTTAAGTATGACGGATGAGGCAATATAAAATACTTACTGTTACGTATAATATTGTAGCTGTTTGGATTACAATAAAATATATAACAAGACCAGGCAAAGAATTCTGCACTATACGAATGCTGTTTCATTTGCATTAATTGAATCTGTTCATACAAAAACTTAAATTTCTCAGAATGTGGATTATTTTCTGTTTCTGCACATTTCAACAGTAGTTCTGATATTTTATCTAAATTTAAATTGCAGTCATCATGAATATCAGAAGCAGAAAAACCATCCAAATGGCTAATCACTGTCTCAAGTTTAAACCATTTATCACATAGTTTTTCTTCTCCAAATATCCATTTGAACTTTTCAATGGGAATTTCATTTTCATTGAAAAAACTCTTACATTTAAATCGTCCAATATTTTTAAAGATACAAGCACTTTTGAACAGTTTAAAAATTCTAATTTCGATAGCCAAAAGATCTTACCTTTGGTTATGAATATCCATGAAGAGGGAAGATCTATTTTTCTTGCAAAACCATTACTAATGCCGTTCCATCATCACGAACAGCTTTATCTTCTCGAACGACAAATTTTTTCTTCAAAATGCTTAATGCATACACTACTGTGTTTGCCAGCTACAAAATCTTTGCGATTAATATTTTTTATCCATTTCTGAGAGAGTACAGGATACGAAGGAAATTTGAAAGTCGACACATGTTCATTACTGCTATCGTAATTTGATCGGCATTTAGGTATACTACACTTTCTTGGCATTCTAAAACACACTTTTTCTTATAAATTCGAATTCACAATATAATATTTTACTTTCCGGTAAAATACAAAATTTTTCAGAAGAAAAAACACATGTAAACAATTATTTCACTAGCACTAGTCCTACGGCGAAGCAATGTCAACTTACAAAATTGAAAAGCCTAAGATTATGACGTCAGATCATGTGATCATCAGATTGGAGCAGGCCTGTAGATATCTAGTTGGCCTTGGTTTGGGCTGATGGAAGTGCGAGTGCAAGGTTTAAGAATGTTGGAAAGGGTTTTGGTTTTTGAGGTTAGTAATGTGAGGTAGGAAGATCAGGAAGGTAGAAGCTGTCAGGTAGGTAGAGGCTGTCAGGAGTGACTTCGAGAAATTTGTGAAAAGAGGCAAGAGGAATGGGCAGGTCATAGATCAAGAGACTAGGGGGGCTATCTAGAATGACGATCACGAATATCGATACCCTCCAAGCAAGGCTATAACCAAGAAGAATTTCGAGTGAAATGCTTGCGAAAAGTTCAAACAACAAATCGAAAATTGCTATGAATTGCTTAAAAAGATTCAAAATACAGTCCAATCACTTGTACGAATAATTTATACTTTAAATATTGAACTATATTTGTATGTTTTATTTTCATTCATTCATTAAAAATTTTTTTGATCAATAGGAAGGAAAATTGGCTCGACGCAAAAATAGTTATCCTAATCTTATTACAAAAAATTATTAATTTAACTTAATGTGTAACTTAGTTTATGATTTTTAATTTGATTTTAATTTTCTTCGCATACCCCTTCAGAAAAATATTTAGTTCATGAACACGGAGTATACTACAACTTTGATTATCGGTAAATTCTCTTGAAGCTTGCGCGTAAGCTTGTTGAGTAAGTTTAACCGTTTGTAATATCTGAGTAAGTGTGCACGTTTCGTGTCCAAAGAGACTTAAAGGTAATTTTTTTATTGTTATATTTTATTTTGGAAAAGGTATATTATATTTCATAAACCAAAGGAACTTGAATTCTAATTTGTTTTGTTGATTCAGTAATTTTGCAGAAAAGAATCTTGATCTGCTCTACCACGTGGACAGTTGTTAGGGGTAGTCATTTTCTCCTTGAGAATTTTATTAGACTTGTATAATGAATGTATTTTCACTGTGTAATAATGATACTTATGTATGTATAAAAATCCCTTTGCATTACAGTTTATTTATTTGCAATATACATTATATGATTTCCTGTTTCTTGATGTTAGTGCGTTTTAGGCTTCGCGTAGATCACATGTAATTTGATGGATTCAAACTCTTTTCAATAATAATTTCCTTACTCCTTAAAGATTAAATATAATATAGGAATTAAATTTAGTCTAGAAAACATACTGGAGTAATTAAGCTAAAACTAAATTTTAAAAAAGTTAGAAAAATTTTTTTCAAGGAGAGAGAAGTATTAAGTACGTAAAGAATATTATATCAACACTTAATGTGAATATTGCGTATAAATGTTAATTGTATCTATACTAATGATTCTTAACATTTTTATGGTCTTATTATCGGCTTACTGATTTAGTAGGTAAGGTTTTTTTTTTCCCAATAATCAGTGGCGTAGCGAGCATAATTGGCGCCCGAGGCAAAATACCTTTTTTGGCGCCCCCCAAAACACTTACAGTAATATAATGTATAGACTATATTCGTAATAAGAAAATAATGCAAATAATAATAGGTACTTTTCCGTTTCGCCGGCGCAAATCTCGCCAAGCAGACTTTATTGGCGACAACATACAGTATACACATAAAAAATATTTAAAAAATTTTTAATTCTAAGAATTCTCTTTTCTCTATTTTAATTCTAAGAATTCTCTAAACATTTTAATATCGTTTAAAACTTTATAAAAAGCCAATAAATAAAGACAATAAATTTGTAAAAAGACATTAATTTAAGAATTTACTATGTTTTCATGGTTCAACATACTAATTCGTCGGTTCATATCACGTGACCCCACACGTAAACTACTCTACAAAAATCTAATGCTCTCAGTAATTATCTACATTAATTTCAAGTTAAATCTTAATTTGGAACACAAGTTTAAATGCAAGAAATATTTCAGTGCGTACGAATAGCTTACTCAGAAATTATGTAAAACTGCAGTGCTTCACTAATGCATTCTCATTAGAATTGATGAATTTAACCCTTGACTTTCTTTTCTATATTTTCGGCTTCGGGTAAGCGCTGTAATTGCATCCTAATTGACTTAAACACCGAAAATGGCCTTAGACATAAAACTGAATTATCTGATAAAATTCTGTGTAATAATATGCCAGCATTGAAAGAAACAATCAATCTGATAAGAAAAAGCTGCGACTTGTTTTGAAAATGAGGCGTAAAAGGTTACCAGCGAGAATATTCCGTTTGGCATCGGTTGTACTATTATTGGCGACTTTATTGCTTGCGCCGGCAAAACGGAAAAGTACCTAATAATAAAATGCTGAATCTGCCATAAAATATATTAAGAACAGTCGCTACCTAACTACACTCATTGGATTCGGAAAATGTATCTGTGTCGGCGGAAAAATCAGTTTTTAAACAATTAAAAGTTTAATATATACTATAAATAAGTAGATATATAATGAAATAGTGTGACTACTCTTATATGCGCCCTCAAGTCGCCAAACGTTTTTGGCAAGAAACTCCATGCTGCCATATTACTATCTAAATTTTTTGTCTACGTTTCGAACTTTAAGTCTAAAATGTCTCCAAAAGCGCGGTTTTCGCTCATGAAAAAACCACGTTTTGAACACACAATTTAAGCTAAAAATATGAAACAAAAACGAAAAATTTAGATAGCAAAAACGTAAAGTTTCTAACCAAAAATATTTGACAAGAATCCATGTACACAGCGATATGTTTTAACTTAACATCTACGAATGGCACAATCTAGGCAACGAACGAATCTACTCAACTACACCTCGCTTTAATAAATTAACACAACAACAATAAATTTCAAAGAATACCATGTACACAGCGTTCTATTTCAACTTTAAAAAAAATCTACGAATTGCACTAATCAATCGAATAAACTAATATAACTAAAATAAATTTCAAACAATTAAAAAAAAAATAACGACAGAAATTCGTACTAAAAAAACAATGAACATAACAATTCTACAAATAAGAACAAGAATAAATAAAATGCACTTACCATAAATTAATGCTTTTTTGAATAGCAGAAATACCAACTACCAACCTCATACCGCCACGTACTCACTATAGTATTTATGTGACAGCCAGGCACACTATCCAGAAAACTCATATTATGGTTCACAAATAAATAAAATCACAAATCCCGACTTCTATCATGTACAGCCACTAAAAATAATCTCCCAGACCCTCTTTCCAAACCTTCAAATACCCACTGCCCATCAACAGGATGGCCACGATGATATTTTCCTTTAGCCGAATTTCAGTTCAGCAACTTCAACCATTTTATCTTTCCCCCCTATTTTCGCGAACCAACGAGCTCCAGCGAAAGATTTTTCAACGTCAACAGGGTTGCCATACAACACGCAATCGCGCAAAAAACCAGCACATATCGCCCCATTTGGTAAAATTAGGGCGTATATCAGAGTTGTACCGAAATAGTAAGGAGTATTTGAAGTGCTAGGTTAAGTAAAGTGACCATATACTCTTTGGTTTGGAAAAACATTTTCTCCATAGATCTGTAATAGTTTTAGGTTCAGTTTCTTTTCTACTGCAGAATAACATCTTGCAGACATTCACTGCTCAAAAGAATTAGGGGACATTGCGAGTTCGGTATTAAATAAACCATATAATCGACAACGTTTTTTTAACAAAAGGCAATAGAAGAGATTATAAACTAAAATTATAACGTTTGCTAAAGTTGGGAATATGCAAATTTAGTCTGTGACGTCAGAAACTAAGAAACTATGCATTTTAGATAAGGCGTAGGGAGCGACCTGCAACATTCTTTTTTAGTAGGAGACTAAAAACAGCTGACACGCGTTGAATGCTTTGTAGCAATGAATATATGATATCTCAGCAAGATGACTTAGTTTAATCGGTAACCAGGAAGACCAATCGTTTACAGGATAGTCAAACGCAATTCATTGTAGCGAAAGCGTTACAAGTTTCCCAAAATGTCATTTCCAGACTATGGAGTTGGTTTTTTTGCCTGTTTTAGAGAAACAGACAGAACTGAGTTTCATGAACAGATTTAATAAGCTGCGTCTCTGATATGGTCATGATGAATGAAGCAGCCTCTGCTTTTTTATATTAAATACGGATATCACTTTTCTGCCTTTTCCAATGATAATGCATCCTTACATGTCTGCTAAAAGATTAACTTAGATCTACTTCATGGATAATAATTTTTTAATATTCCCACTTGATTGCATTTCAGTATATCTGTGGTCTGATTTTGTTCATTGCTTTGTAAAAAGATTATGAAGGTACTTCGTGCAAGTTTCTCAGAAGCAAGCATACATATTTAGGTATTGCTTCCTCTAAAACTGGCATATCAAACTCGGTTAAGCCAGCTAGTCCTTAGTGTACAGTAGTGAGAACCTCAAAATAATAAAAGCTGTTTGTATGCTTAATGATGTATTAAATTTTACATAATGCTATAGTCTTTAAAAAACCTTAAATCCAGATAGTGGATAGATACCTGTTGTTTCCTCCTAACAGATGGCATTTTATTCCTACAACCAGCTTTCGAATGCCTAGAGCAAAGTTTCTTAAATCCAGATAGTGGATAGATACCTGTTGTTTTCTCCTAACAGATGGCATTTTATTCCTACAACCAGCTTTCGAATGCCTAGAGCAAAGTTTCTTAAATTATAGATTGCCACCCCAATTAGGATTGCGGAAATTTAATTCAGATGCTTTGAATTTAAAGAATACATCTATTTACATTAAGATTGATCACCTGCGACATTAAGCCCAATAGGAACTTTTTGAGCTGACGAGTGATTCATATTTTTCCTCAAAAATCTTCAACTGAATTCTGGTTTGGAGCAAGAGCTGAATTTCCCACATTTGCCATTCAAGCACTGCATACTTATGAAACAAATTTTGATAGAAGTTTACAGTTGGTTGCCCCCCCCCCTTTTTTTTTTTTTTTTTTTTTTTTTTTTTGACGCCAGGAAGGCACTATTTCAAGATGGCTGCTACACAAAACCAAAATAAGAAGTCAAGGAATTGCACACTGTCTTAAATTTGTCCAGGTACACATCAATCTATTTTAATTTAAAAAAAAAAGGAAGCTAAAACAAAGTTAAAACTATCATGGTAACCTGAAATAAGGTTTTATTGCCAAAATTTAAAAAAAAAATTGTCGCTAATCGAAGGGGCACTCAGTTCTACACTAGAGCCCAAGTGGTTCACCTTAGTGCTTTTTAAATGCAAATAGCATTTAATACTGAAAATTGTTAAAGATGTTTAATATCTAGGGTCTCATTGATGAAAAAGGTGCTGGACTACAGACATGTTGCTCACATTAGCAGTTTTAAGGACAGAGGTTAATCTGTTAGTCATGATTTCACCGGGGTTTCATTTCATGAATGAGAAAAACAGTTCAACCTGCAGTACATACTACTGAACGTGGAAATCACATAGTGTTAAATTTTCCCCTTTCTAGGAACCATGCAAACAAATATTGGCTCTAGTGTAGAATTGGGTGCCCCTTCATTTAGCAACAAATTTTGTTTAATTTTGGCAATGAAACTGCATTTCTGATTACTATGATAGTTAAACTTTGTTTTAGCATTCTGATTTTTTTTAAAGTAAAAATAGATTGATGTGTATGTGGAAATTGAGTTTGTGCAATTCTTTGACTTCTTATTTTGGCTATTTGGCCTTCCTGGCATCAAAAAAGAATCGCCATTTGTTTATATACTGCCACTTTCTCAACATCAGCTACTAAGTATTTTTGTAAGGAGC